ACCCCTAGACCCTAAACCCTAAGCAATGCTTGTCTAGTTGCGAGTGCTGAAACCCTAAGCAATAAGAGTACGAAGCGACTTGCCAGCAGCTAAGTGCCGTCCTTATTCGTCCCCGTTGCCTCGGCTTCTTAAGCGGGAAATCCTAACCAACACAAATCCCACGAGGTCCGCACAACTGTCACCGCGTTCTTACTATCTCGAACTGGAGTGGTTTGTCGTTGTCGTCGCTGTTGCTGGGTTTGTTGTGTTGCTGCTGCTGGTGTTGTTGGCGGCGAGGAGGGTCGTGGAAGCTGTTTCTGCGGGTGGAGAAAGGACTTCGGATTTTTCGGCAGCATAGGACATGAAAAGTAGGGCCGGTGCCTACATTGTGGGAGATTCAGGCGAGGGTCCGTGAGGTTCAGGCAGCCAGGAGGGATAATGCAGATTCCGTTGAAAGCCCTTCAATGTATCTGCATAACCCACCATGGCAAATATCACCATTGCCATACTTCATCGAGCACATGCCAAGGCTATGGTCAGGCCTTTTGCCCTGGTCTGGGTAAATCTGAACTAGAGGCTCCGAAGTACTTTTTTGGGGTTCATATTTAATTAGAATCCTATCAGGTAGTCCCGAAAGGAACTACCATGCAGCCTATGGGTATGGCCTACTCTGTGTTCCCGGTTGCTTCAGTTTTCAGGGTGCGCATTGCCATACGCAGAAACTCCAACACTGATGGCGTGCCTCGCCCATGTTTATCGGTCTATCCTTGTCAGCGCTGCCTGTGTCAGCTTGAAAAAGCCAAGGATTTCGATGTCCGGTCCTGGAACTACCCGACTCGCACGGCAATGACTGCGTACCAACATCGTGCCCGGGAGGCTGAGGTTGATGCAGGGCCTGATTCAGTCGGCGTTGATGTAATGTAGGGGCCTTGATAATTAGAGTAGGGTTTTCGGGCCCAGTATACTATATACTTATAGCAAGGAACCCCCAAAAGAGTGTAGGTATTGTTGGGCCCCTATATAAACATCTGTCCGCATGAGCCGTAGCAGCCAGCCAGTCATGCGTGCACTAGCTTTCACACGGCAGCGAGAGTACTGAGGCGATGCATTGTGAGCAAATCTCAGACTTATTTGGGTTCAGGACTCCATGCTGCTGTGATTTACAGTTCAGGGCTTCGGCAGAATATGCCAGTTGGTGTATGTTTGAAGGCGGCACAGACTGTTCACAGTCGACAAGGCAGTCACGCTAAAGATGTGGGAAAGCATAAGAAACATAGCATAAGAAACATCAGAGTCCACTTGTGTGCTTCTCAACATCTTTGACGGATTGCAAGAGCCTCTCCGGATATGTTCGAAGCCGAGGAAATTGGATACCTCTTGGAGGGCAAGGCCGGCAGCTAATGCACCCGTGGGGGAGCATAACTCGGAAAGATGCTGTCTCACGAAAGTCTGGCTGCGCAGCGTCGCAGGGCCGAGCATTCCTTTGAGGGCCAAGGTTCAGAGAGTTGAAAGAAATCACAGTGATCTGCATTGTCATGGCAGGGAGAGACAGAGACGGAGACAGAGAGAAAGAGAGAGACACAGAGAGAGAGAGAGAGAGAGAGAGAGAGAGTGAGAGAGAGACGGACAGAGAGCTGCTCCCCGCCCCATACCCCGAGCAAAGCAGACAGAGAGAGAGAGAGAGAGAGAGAGAGAGCGAGAGAGAGAGAGAGAGAGAGAGAGAGAGAGCGAGAGAGAGCGAGAGAGCGAGCTGCCCGTGTCGGCACAGGGGGGTTCCTCTATGCGCGCGGAGTTCCGAGCGTGCAGACCCGCAAGCCGACGGTTGAGCGGCGATTTACCTGCAAGATGAGACTCCCACGAGTACCGCCGGTACCCCTGCCACCATCTCCGCGACCGGTACGAGTACTGCTGCTGCCACTCATGTGGCACTGAACCTTTTCTCACGAAAGTAGATCATGTAGGTGCATTTGGCATCAACATCATGAAGGTGATCCTCGTCACGGTTCAAAACGCCCACGCTCTTCCCGGCTGTCTCGATCGTGTGTCGATGCTGAAGGTGATGGCATGCTGACCGGGGGCGCCTTCGAATCTACCATAAGCTCGTATCGGCCAGGGTCCACGGTGCCGCAGTGCCCCCATGTAACAACAATCTAGCCAGGGTCGAAGGTGCCACAGTGTGCGCCTGAAACAACAACTTCTGGCGCATGCAATTATGCAATTGAGCTTTGGAAGGTGGACGAGGAGTTGCCGGAGCAGTCGCTTCGGCTCGGAAGTCTGCAAGATCTTGCTAATTCGGGGTCAAGCTTGTCCCGTGAGTGCGAAGGCTGCCCATCACATTAGCACGACGAGCAACATGACCAAGGCAAAGGTGATAGGATTGTAGGTAGGGCCAATGATCACAGGAACCTACAACACTTGTAAGATTCATCATTTACAATCAGCCTGTCTCCGCGTCCCTTTGCTACGGCCCGAATGACTCAATTTTCACCATTCGGAATCTGGCACCTGAGCCGTAGCTTCGTTTGCGTGAAACTCGCTGGTCAAGAGACCCCGGGTTCGCAAATTTTCATTCAGTGAGAACTCTCCTCTTCAGACCCCGAGAAAGGACCAGAGGTTTCTTCATCACATGTGGGAGTTTCAGGGGTACCTTAAACTGGGGTCCTTATAATAAGGATCCTACTATTTAGGGTACTATATTGGGGTCCCCTATTGTCCGAAACTCCCAATTTTCGAGATCGAGCGATTTCTCTTCTTAAGAGAGCTGTTGTCATCTGTGGGTGTTACGCATTCGGGGGTCCAGGGTCCCGTTTGAATACCGATCGCAATCACCTGGCGGCGTGTCTTTTTAGGGTTTAGGGTTTGGGAGTTTCCGAAAATTGGGGGTACCTTATTTTTCGGGGTCCTTATAATAAGGATCCTACTATCTAGGGTACTATATTATGTTGTGGAATCCTGGAAAGCCGACACACCCGGCTTTCTTCTCAGCGCAGGGAACCTCAAAACCTAAACCCAAACTCAGCTTCAAGTTTCTTCGGATAAACAGCACAGGGCATGCATGCGCACATCCGCAAGTAGAGATGTGACATATATGTGTTTGTATCGGTACGGGAATCTAGACCTAGCCCCGTCATGTCCGCCCCTAAGATGCCGCCCAGGATTCTGGGATGCTTCACAGCAACTTGGGCTGATTGCTACTGCATGTGTTGGCCTAGATCTGTTGGGATGCCGCAGCTGGGGAAACTTGACCAAGAACATCTTTTTGGGTGGTGGCCTGGTTGGGCTCGCATGTGCCATCTAGGCTCTCAGTCATTTCCTTCTCATAATAGGCCGCAGAGAGGTTGCCACCGCCGCGGTTGTGGTCGCACGCTTTCAGGTCAACAACATGGACATCATGGCTGCGAGATGGCTGCCCTAAAGTTTCACTGGGTTTGGAGCACACTTTGTTTGATTGGTTCATTGACGGTTCGGGTCAGTAGAATTTAAGAGGGGGTTTAGGGCAGTTTAGGGAGTATGTTTTAGGGCCGGATTGATCGCCGTAGCTGGATGCTTGATGGTGTGTTTCCGCCGAGCAGAGCGCCGTCAAGCTTCGCATCGAGCCAAAATGACGGCCCGCTTTTGCACCGGGGGTGGTTCAGCAGCAGCAGCAGCAGCAGCAGGAACAATGGCGCCAACAGCAACAGCACGATTGCCTATCTATTGACCTTACTTTAGCAGCATTGACAACACTAGCAATATTACCATCAGCAGCACCAAGAACAACAGCTGCAGCAACAGCGGGAACAAGAACAGTAACATGTGCATCAAAGAAGCAGTCAGAACCGAAGCAACACGAAGGACGACCCACGAGAAGCAATAGGAGCAGACGCACCGCGACCTCCACCGCTGCTACCAGCACCACGACCACAACTAGGACCCATGCCAACACCACTGCCAACTCCGACGACAAAGACGAAGGAGATGACGTCAACGACAACAGCGGCAACGGCATCAGCGCTGAGCAAATCAATCCTGTTAACAGTTAGTTTATGCTTCCTCGGAGGAATCTATTTAGGGCCAAGATATCTCGATGTTTGGACTGGCATATCATAAACCCAAGGGCTCCAGCTACCCAAACGATAAGCTACCGGGGTAGTTACATACTATATGGTTAGTAACCCTACTATTTCGGCATCTGGAGCCCTAAGGCAAAAATCACCCGTGTCGCAGACTCTTACTTAAAGGATCATGGGACTTAGTAACTAGGGTTATAATTAGGGTAACTATACTTATAACTCCAATTAAAGTACTTATAACCTTACTTACTAAGTCCCATGATCCTCCAAGTAGAAGCTCAGGCCCAGACTGCCCAAGCTCACGTGCATGCGGCCCAGGCCGGGGGGAGGGCGGAGCTTTGCGGAATGGCATCCGTTTCCAAGCCATCTGTACAAATACTAAGGGAGCCCTACAATCCCCGATCGCCAGATTTTTCAGCCAGCCTGACCAGTTATTTGGCCCCTTGAAAGATGGAAGTAGACCATTTGGAACGACCCAGCTGCTAAATCGTCGACCCCCGCTACGGCTAATCTGTCGTAGTTGTCCTATAGGGGAGTTCAGCTACCATTGGTCACCGATCTTCCCGTCATTTCGGGACTTTGCTTGTCAACACTTAATCGTAAACTAGACTGGGGTTTTTGGGCCCTCTATATATATATATATATATATGTGTATATATATGTATATCTAAGAAGATAGCAAGGAACCTCCCAAAATAGTAAGTGTTCTGCCTGCCCAGCGCACTTCGTCATACATTGCAGGTTGCAACACTCCAAGACTGAAAACCTCAATCCCGAATCCTGAGTCATTTTGGCTCAAGCCATCTTTTCAAAGATCAGGGTTTTGGTGTCTGCAGCAACTCGTGCCTTGTTGCCATGTTGGCTGCGCGGTTGGCCTGCATTCTACCCCTGCTGTGGATTGAGTCGGCCAACGCCCGCTGGAAGCCTCATGTTGTCTTCATCTTGGCTGACGACTATGGTTGGGCCAACATGGGCAAGCACCGGAAGCATCCCCAGGGAGCGGCAGAGGTTCAGGGCCGCTCCGAGACGCACACGCCGCACTTGGACCAGCTGATCCGGGAGGGTGTGCTTCTGGAACGGCACTACGCCTACAAGATCTGCTCCCCCTCCAGGTCTTCCATTCAAAGTGGGCGCCTTGCGGTGCATGTGAACTCGGTGAACACTGGTGTGACCTTTTGGAACCCAGAGGACAACGTGTCAGGCTTTGCCGGCGTTCCGGCGAACATGACCGGCCTTGCGGAGAAGATGCAACATGCCGGCTACCGGACGCACCTGGTGGGCAAGTGGGACGTGGGCATGGCCACGCCCTTACACACTCCTCTTGGTAAGGGCTACGATTCCTGGCTGGGCTACTTCCAGCATGCCAATGACTACTGGCAGGAAAGCATGCCCTTAGCATCCACAGGCAACGTTGACATTTGCTTGAACAAGTTTCGAGACTTCTCCCTCTACAACAGAACTTACCGGGCGGGTGTCACGGAAGCTGTGGCTCGCGAGCTGGGATGTAACGCCAACGTGAAGCATGTCCAGAAAATGGGGATCAAGCCGCAGGTCAATTCTACAGGGTGCAACGTGGATGATCCCGACTACTGTCTTCCCGATAGTTGCTTCGAAGAGGCCATGTTCAACCAGTATGCTCTGAGGATCATCAAAGAGCACGACCGCCACAAGCCTCTCTTCCTCTTCTACTCCTTCCACCTCCTCCACACTCCCCTGCAGATCCCAGAGTCCTACTTGCATGAGATTGACAGCCTTGTGGCCCGAAGCGGGGTCCCGCACAGCATCCCGTGGACGCAGAACCGGAGGCTCTACGCCGCCATGACTTTGTATATGGATACCATGGTGGGCAATTTGATTTCTGCCCTCAAAGAACGCCAGATGTACGAAGACACCCTCATCGTGTTCACCGCGGACAACGGCGGGCCCGTTTACGAGCCTGGCTCAGCCAACAACTGGCCATTGAAAGGAGGCAAGTACAGCGACTGGGAGGGAGGTGTGCGAACCAATGCCTTCGTGTCGGGTGGCTTCGTGCCATGGCCGCGGCGTGGCACGAAGTTCGGCGGTGTTATCTCCATCGCCGATTGGTATGCAACGCTATCCACCATCGTGGGCGTTCCCGTTCACGACGAGAAAGCCGAGGCGGCCAACAGGTACTTGCTTCAGAATGGCTTGCCCCTGCTACCCCCCGTGGACGGCCGGCCCCAGTGGGAGAACATCGTTTGGGACATCAATGGCCGGAAAGATGCATTGCACCTTAGCCAGGAGGCCCTCCTGTGGTGGCCCTTCAAGCTTGTGACGGGCAAACAACCTTACAGCTTCCACCAAGGCCCGGTGTATCCCAATTGCACTACAGAAGAAGGCTTGCATGCGGATGAAGGGCCCATCTTCTCCGACATGCATGTCTTTGGCGTGCCCGTCTACCCAAGCGCGAATGCCTCGCAGCAGGATGAACTCACGATGGCCAGCGACTGCAGCTACGGCGGCTGCCTCTTCAATGTGGAGCGCGACCCCAATGAAGTTCAGGACCTTGCCGCCGACCCTATTTACTCCGACGTGCTCTTCCAGATGCAGAAGAAGCTCTACTACCTCAACGAAGGCAACTTCAACCCAAATCGCGGAGAGCCGGCCGTCGAAGCCTGCCTCCAAGCCGCCGATCTCGGAGGCTACTACGGTCCGTTCGTCGAGGTGGATGGCTTCTACAAGAAAGTGCACCTTACGGAGGAGCAGAAGAGTGTCGAGGCGGCAAACAAGAAGGAACTCCTTAACCTGAACGAGACGCTGCAGAAGGAGGGTGAGAAGTATGTCATCGAGTTCAGTGAAGAGTATGGCCTGATTGACATCTTCCGCCCGGGCCCAAACAACTCCATCGACGTCTGCATGAATGACACAGGGAGCGATACAGCTCCGACTTTGTTTCCCTGATCAGATTTTGTTCGAGTTGCCGGGTTCTGTGGGCACCTGTCTCCCCACTTCCGTGCAACAACACACTTTTGTTTCCCCGGTGAGGGCACAGTGCTACGGCTGCTGTCTTCCTTCGGCTCTCTTGAGATGTACAGACATGGGGCAGGTGCAACTTGCCCTGCGCACAGCCGCATGAGGACGAACTCCCATGCAGAAGCTGCTTATCAGGTCGCGATGCCTACGGCAAGAGGCTTCTGGTCATGGAATCTTTTCGTAGCTCAGCGTCTTCCTCAGAAGCCTGCAAACTACGGCCATCTTACATAGATCCCCTTCACCCCTAAACGCTAAGTCTTCAAAGCCAAGCTTTTGGGACCCGCAAGCCGGGCCGGACTTGCCGGGGCATGGCGAACAGTCCTGGGAGCGGTGATCTTGCACGTGTTTCAAGGAAAAGCCTCTAGTTTGAAGGTTGGGGGTTTGGGATTCATAATATATATATATATATATACACACATACATACATACATACATACATACATACATACATACATACACACACACACATATATATATATATAGAGGGTTCTAGTTTGCCTGAGGCCCTAAACCCGCGGCAGATACCTGGCGACTCCACTCATGAAAAAAAACCGGAGGTTTTATTCCAAAGACTACCTGAACCCCAGATATCCCCCCAAAGGGTCCAAAGTAGCGATGTAAGTAGAATGTAGGGTTTCTATATTAGGAATTACTATTATGATTTGGGGAAGTATTCCCCATAACAGTACATAGGACCCTTTGGGCCCTATAATCCCTATAATCCCTTAAGCCCCTGAGTCGGCCGTGCTCTCTGTAGTTCTTCCTCGTCTGGATGCGTCCGAGTTGCGAGAGCCTAAACCCGAATCCTGCACCCTTAGCCCTAGACTCCTAGACCCTACTAGCCCTAAAGGGTTTTTATAAAAAAAGACCCTTAGCTCTAGACTCCTAGTCCTAGACCATAATTCCTAAAACTTGCTAGCCCTAAACAGCTTCCAAGGGGATTTCGAGCATTCATCCATGCCGCAGGCTGCCCATGCCTTGGCGCAGCAGGCCGCGGATCAGCTCCGGGGGATCCAGCGCCAAGTGCCTCACACCCAGGGGGGGTCCGGGTCTTGAGGAGCACCGAAACCTAAAGCGCAGGAAGTAGGGTTGCGGGGTTCTACACCCTTCGCGCCTTAAATGCATGAAGGCCGTCAGGCCTGTCCACCCTGCCCCTTAAACTCCTAAACCCTGAAAGATCCTACAAACCCCAAACCCTGAACCCCACAAAGCCCTAAACCCTTCAAAGTGCCGGGGCAAGCTAAGACCTAAGCCCGAGGGCTTCCCGGAGGCATCCGGGGTTCCTCATATTTGTGTGTATGTTTGTGTGTATGTATGTATGTATGTGAATATATATATATATATATTCTTAGATACGGTTATACACTATATGTACCATGTACTTTAGAATACTTCTTTAACTATAGTTAGGGTGTAGGTGTAGCTGCCATAAACAGAGAACAAGAGGCATGTGATTTCGGGTTTTGGTTTATGTATGTTATTTAGGGCTTTGGGTTAGGCCCGGATGCAAAAAAAGGTCTATGTATATATATATATATGTATGAGGTTAGGGCTCGGGAGCAGGCTTGAGGCTTGGGGCCTAGATGCAAGTTTGAAATGAGGGTTCAGGGTGCCACTCTGGTGTTTGTCACTCCCAACCACAACCCCAGAGCCCGGTGTGCGTGGCTCTTTCAGCCAAAGACGGCTTAGGGTTTAGATATACTCTCAGGTCCTGGTACTAGAGGCCCTTTGAACGCCATGACCTCCTGCCTTCTCATTCAAGGCTTCTCCGAAGCCCCGAGCCGGCTGAGTAGATGAAATGACCTAGTTGAAAATCATAGACTCAGGTCTTTATGGGCTTCCCTGAACGCTAAATGCTAAATCCTAAGCCCTGTGATCTTCGGCCCTTCGTGACTTCTAGTGCGAGCTGAGAACCGGGCCGCCAAAACCAGATTCTAATTATTAAGGCCCCTATATTATATCATGTGTGTGCTCATACGTGCCGACAATCTCGTATTAGCGGTTTGCAGTGGATGTAAAGACATCGTTGTCTGCCATGGCTTCTCAGAGATGGCCGTCAAAGAGCTGCAGGCATGGCGGTATGCAGCAGCAAATGCACTTGTAGATTTCCCCGTGTGACATTGCGTGCAGATGCGTTGGGTGCTTTTTACATAACAGCAACAAAGCAGCAAACACAACAACAAACACCAAACCAGGAATGATAATCATAATTGATAGTCGTGACAATCGTAGCAATAGAACTGGCAATTTTCTGCCCAAAACGAGATGAGTAGTCGTGACACAACCGGTAACAGTACTGTTTTTCGCTTGCACATGTGTAGTGTCTTTTGGACAACAGTGAAGTAGGAGCCCATGTCCCAGAAGTGGTTCCGTATGGGGTCCCCTTCTTGCAGTTTCCATGGCGTGATGGTAAACAGCCGGCAGGAACCAGTGAATCCGTGCATAACGCAAACTCCTCTAAACCCATTGGTCCCGTTCGGGTCTCCCTTGTGCCTCTGCCATGCCGTGATAGCTTGAAGCGAAAGCTGTACGAAGCACAAACCCGAAGCATAGTGCAGATCACCCGAACCCTAAAGCAAGAGACCCCAACACCCCGTAATTAGCGATGATAGGTCGTCAAATATTCTCCGACCTCCGAGTACAGGGCCCGGCCAAATGTGGCTGATGGTGATTACGTTTATGAGGTAAGACGATTAAATACGAGCACGCTGGCCTTTTTGACGCAGGTGATGGTTATGACCACATGTTTTGCTTGGCAAGCCGCTGGCTCAAGGTTGTTGACCAGCTTCAGATTCCCAGTTCGTCCCATAGGCCCTAGAGGTGCCCGCGACATGTTGCAGGTCAGAATGATCTCCGGCGAGAACATACTCATAGCTGCCGAGGAGGCTGAGGAGGTGCACGATGTGAGCGGACTGAAGCGACACCTGACTCAGGCGAGGGGTCTTCCTTCGGGTTTCAGGCAGAGGCTCCTTTTTCATGGCGAGACTTTAGAGGATGCTACTACGCTGAAGTCTCCAATGGAGCTGGATCTCGTTTTGCTGCCCTTCGCCGAAGTCTCGGAAGAGCAGGTGCAAGACCTGGTCAGCGCTGCTTCACAGGGTTCGACGGCCGAGGTCAAGTCTAGGCTGCAACTTCCGCAAGACCCGGACTTGTATGGGGAAGACTACTGCACAGCTTTGATGATGGCATCTGCTGGAGGTCATGTCGAAGTCGTGGGGTTACTGCTGGATGCCGGCGCTAACAAAGAATTGACGGACATCGACGGCTGCTCAGCTCTGATGTTGGCGTGTGAAGCAGGTCATGAGGAAGTCGTGAGCTTGCTCTTGAGAAATGGTGCCAACATGGATACGGCAAACGTCCTCGGCCGCACGGTTTTACTACGTGCATCCGCCAGCGGCAATGTCGATTGCGTGAGCTTGCTGCTGGCGGCCGGCGTCGACACAGAAAGGGCAGACATCAATGGCGACATAGCTTTGATAGCAGCGACTGATGCATGTCATGTCGAAATCGTGGACTTACTGCTGAAGGCGAGCGCCAACTGCGATGTTGCAAACAACCGCGGCAACACAGCTTTGATGTTGGCTTCGGCCACAGGTCAAGTCGAACTGGCGAGCTTGCTGCTGAAGCAAGGTGCCAACAAGGATGTGGGAGACAACCTCGACGGGAGCACGGCTCTAATGAAGGCATCTGCAGAGGATCAACTTGAAGTCCTGAGCCTGCTGCTGGAGGCCGGGGCCGACAAGGATGCGGTAAACACTTTCGGCCGCACGGCTTTGATGGATGCATCCGCCTGGGGTAGTGTCGAGGTCGTGAACCTGCTGCTTGCGGCCGGTGCCAACAAAGATGCTGCAGATAACAGCGGCGAAACAGCTCTGATGATGGCATGTGAATCAGACCATGCTGATGTTGTGAGTATGCTGTTGGAGGCTGGCGCCAACAAGGAACTGACCGACATTGGCGGTTGCACAGCTCTGATGTTCGCATCTGAAAGAGGTCACGGTGAAGTGGTGAGCTTGTTGCTGAAGCAAGGTGCTGACAAGGATGTGGCAGACAACCTCGGCGGCAGCACGGCCTTAATGAAGGCATCCGCGGCAGACGAACTCGAAGTCATGAGCCTGCTGCTGGATGCCGGCGCCGACAAGGACACGGCGAATAATTTCGGCCGCACTGCTTTGATTGATGCATCCGCTGTGGGGGGTGTCGAAGTCGTACGCTTGCTGCTGGCGGCCAGGGCCAACACAGATGTGACAGACATCAGCGGCGACACGGCTTTGGCAGCAGCAGCTGATGCATGTCATGTCGATATCGTGAGATTGCTGCTGAGTGCCGGTGCCAACTATGATGTTGCAAACACCCTCGGCAACACAGCTTTGATGACGGCATCTGCTGCAGGTCAGGTCAGACTGGCGAGCTTGCTGCTGTTGGCCCGTGCCGACAAGGATGCCTCAAACAATTTCGGCCGCACAGCTTTGATGGATGCATCCGCAAGGGGAAACATCGGGGTCGCGACTTTGCTGGTGGCGGCCGGTGCCAACAAAGATGCTGCAGATAACAGCGGCGAAACAGCTCTGATGCTGGCATCCGAATCAGGTCATGGCCAAATCGTGAGCATGCTGCTGAGGGAAGGTGCCAACAAAGAAGCGGCAAACTGCTTTGGCCGCACAGCTTTGATTGTGGCATCCAGTCGAGGTCTTCTCGGCATCGTGGGCCGGCTGAGCTGACAGCACCCGAAAAGCAAGAACTGCTTCCTGCAGTCCCTGAGAAGCGCTCATGAACCAATGTAGATTTGAATGATCAGCAACATTAGCCTCTTCTATGATATTCTTGAAAAAAAAGCCTGGCAATTCAAAGCTCTGAGGCCTTTGGCTTTAAACCTCATTACAGAGCCCCCTCTACAGACCATTTAGAAAGCCTGAAGAGATGTATTG